GGAAATAAAAAAATTGAAAACCAAGAAACTCCCATAGAAATGATAAAACTAAAAGCTAGTTCTTTGAAAAAACTAATTGATAAATCCTTAGCTAATCTGATTAAAAAGAGAACAGAAAGTCAAATAAATAAAATAGCAAGTGAGCAAGTTGAAATTGCACTAAAACCAGAAGAAATAATAAAAATGATTAGAACCTATCATGCACAGTTATAAGCTTTAAAAAATAGAAAACAAAAGAGACATACCTTCAAAAATATAAAATACACAAACTATCAGATCAACAGAAAGAAGGGTTAAATTAGTCTCAGAAAGAGATAGATCTAGCTGTAAAGGATCTTTGAAAGGAAAAAGATACTCCCTAGTCCTGATGGATTCATGAGAGAGTCCTATCAAACTTTTAAAGAATACGTAGTGCCCATACTTCAAAAATTGAGAAAGCACTCCACCAGAATCCTTTTATGAGATAGAATCTTCATACCTAAACCAGGGAAAGATAGAACATAGAAGGAAAATCATAGACCTATATCATTAATAAATATTAACATAAAATTTTTTCCCAACAAACTTAATTTTTATTTATTTTTTGTTTTCAACATTTACTTCCACAAGATTTTGAGTTCCAATTTTCACCCCATCTCACCCCTCCCCCCACCCCAAGATGGCATGCATTCTAAATACCCCTTCCCCTAGTCTGCCTTCCCTTCTATCTCTCCCCCCCCTTCTCTTATCCCTTTCCCCTTCAATTTTCCTGTAGGACAGGATGGATTTCTGTACCCCATTTCCTGTATTTATTTCCCAGTTGCATGTGAAAACATTTTTTTTAAACATGTGTTTTTAAAACTTTGGGTTCCAAATTTTCTCCCTTCCTCCCTCACCACCCACCCTCATTGATAAGGCAAGCAACTAAATATAGGTTATATGTGTACAGTTATGCAAAACACTTCCATAGTAGACATGCTGTGAAAAACTAACTCTATTTCCCTTAATCCTACCCCGCCCACCCATTTATTCTATTCTTTCTTTTGACCCTGACCCTCCTCAGAAGTATTTGCTTCTGATTACTCCCTTTCCCAATCTGCCCTCCTCTCTATCATTCTCCTACTCTCTTGTCCCCTTCTCCCCCTATTTTCCTGTAGGGTAAGACAGATTTCTACACCCATTTGAGTGTGTATGTTACTCCCTCCTTAAGTCAAATCCTATGAGAATAAGATTCACTCATTCCCTCTCACCTTCCCCCATTTCCCCTCCACTGTAAGAGCCTTTTCTTTTCTTTTCTGTTTGGATTTTTTTTTTGTGGGATAATTTACCCTGTTCTACCTCTCCCTTTCTCCTTCTCCTAGTATATTCCTCTCTCACCCCTTAATTTCATTCTCCAGATATGACCCTTTCATTTTCAACTCACCCTGTGCCCTCTATCTATCTATATCTGTATATACATACATATAATTTTTTCCCCTCCAACTACCCTAATACTGACAAAGGTCTCATGAGTTACAAATATCATCTTTCCATGCAGGAATGTAAACAGTTCAACCTTAATAAGTCTCTTATGATTTCTCTTTCCTGTTTACCTCTTCATGTTCCACTCGAGTCTTGTATTTGAAAATCAAATTTTCTATCCAACTCTGGTCTTTTCATCAAGAATGCTTGAAAGTCCTCTATTTCACTGAATGACTATTTTTTCCCCTGAAGGATTGTACTCAGTTTTGCTGGGTAGGTGATTCTTGGTTGTAATCCTATCTCCTTTGCCCTCCGAAATATTATATTCCATGCCCTGCGGTCCCTTAATGCAGAAGCAGCTAAATCTTGTGTTATCCTGATTGTGTTTCCACAATACTTGAATTGTTTCTTTCTGGCTGCTTGTAATATTTTCTCCTTGACCTGGGAACTCTGGAATTTGGCCACAATATTCCTAGGAGTTTTCCTTTGGGGATCTCTTTCAGGAGGAGATTGGTGGATTCTTTCCATTTCTATTTTGCCCTCTGGTTCTAAAATATCAGGGCAGTTTTCCTTGATCATTTCTTGAAAGATGATGTCTAGGCTCTTTTTTTGATCATGGCTTTCAGATAGTCCAATAATTTTTAAATTCTCTCTCCTGGATCTATTTTCCAGGTCAGTTGTTTTTCCAATGAGATATTTCACATTGTTTTCTAATTTTTCATTCTTTTGGATTTGTTTTACAGTGTCTTGATTTCTCATAAAGTCACTAGCTTCCAATTGCTCTATTCTAATTTTTAAGGAAGTATTTTCTTCAGCAATCTTTTGGACTTCCTTTTCCATTTGTCCAATTTTGCTTTTTAGGGCATTCTTCTCCTCATTGGCTTTTTGGACCTCTTTTGCCATTTGGGTTAGGCTATTTTTTAAGGTGTTATTTTCTTCAGTATTTTTTTGGGTCTCCTTTAGCAAGCTGTTGACTTGTTTTTCATGATTTTCTTGCATCACTCTCAGTTTTTCCTCTACTTCTCTTACTTGCTTCTCAAAATCCCTTTTGAGCTCTTCCAAGTCCTGGAACTGATTCATATTTTTCTTGAAGGGTTTGGATGTAGGAGCTTTGGCTTTGTTGTCTTCTTCTGGTTGTATGTTTTGATCTTCTTTGTCACCAAAGTAAGATAATATAGTCTGACTCTTTTTGTGCTGCTTACTCATGATCCCGGCCAATTACTTGAGTTTTAAACTCTTTGTTAAGGTAAAAGTCTGCTTCCAATGTGAAGAGTGTACTGTCCCAAGCTTCGGGGGTTTGTACAGCTGTTTTCAGAGGTACTTCTAGGGACCTGTAAATTTTCAGTTCTTCCAAGGTCCTATGATAAGGGGCGAGGTGTTTTCTCTCCACCACCACAACAAGCTCCACCTCACCAGTGCTTCTCCTCGCCCCAGGACTGCCCCTCAGAACTGTGACCCAGATCCAAGCACCGGTAAAGCAAGAGATTCCTGCCTCAGCACTGGCAAAGAGATCCCTGCAATCCCCCTCTGATCAACCACTTGATTCAACCTCAGATAAAAGCCGTGGCCCCGGGCCATGCACGAGACTTGCAGCTGAGACCTAGCTCCTCTCTCACCTAGTCACAGACTTTTCCCACTGACCTTCTAAGTTGTCTTTGGCATTCAGGGGTTGAGAAGTCTGGAAACCACCACAGCTGCCCGCGATTCAGTCCTCTGAGGCCTGCTCCAGGTTTGCTGCAGCCTGCACGCCCACACCAAACTGCGTTCCTCTCCCTGTCCGGCACGATATACCTTTCTGATCAACCATCCAGGCTGTCTTTGGCTGGAAATTTGTTTCACTCCGTGTTTTTGTGGGTTCTGCTGCTTTAGAATTTGTTTAGAGCCATGTTTTAGGCATTTGGAGGGTTTGGGGAGAGAGCTCAAGACAGTCACTTCTTTCCCTCTGCCATCTTGGCTCCGCCAACATAAAAATTTTTTAAACAAATCTTATCAATTTGATTGCAGCAATTTAGCTAAAAAACCATTCCTTATGACCAAGTGGGATTTCTGTCAGGGATGCAAGAATGGCTTAACATTAGGAAAACAATCAACATAATTAAAAACCAAAACATCTAAAACCACATGATCATTTCTCAATCGATACAAAAAAGACTTGTGACAAAGTATAATACTCTTTAATGCTAAAAACCCTACAAAATATGGGCATAAAAGGGCCTTTGTTTCAGATATAAAAAGTATCTTACCTAAAACCAAAAGCAACCATTCTTTGCAATGGGGATACACTAAAACATTTTCCAGTAAATATTGACATGAAACAAGGATGCAAATATGTCCACTTTCTTCACTGTTATTTGATACAGTTCTAGAAATGCTAGAAGTAACAACAAGAAAAAGGAAACTAAAGGAATAAAGACAGACCAAGAGAATAAAATCATTAATCTCTCAAGGTACCTGGGCCACTCGACTGCTACACCCCATCTTTCTTCTGGTTCAGCTGTTCCAGGGTTTTTCCTGGGGTAATATTTTCTGGGCTTTCCTAGGTTAATAACGGAGAGTAAGAATGACTTACTTCTTACTCCGCCATCTTGGCTCCTAGAAGTAGAAGCTCAGCTTGATTTTCTTAAAGCACAGATCTGATCATGTCACCTCCTCCACTTCCCTCACCAATAAACTTAGTTTCCCTATTATTCCCACGATCAAATATAAAATCTGCTGGCTTTTAAAGTCCACTATAGGGGGCAGCTAGGTGGCACAATGGATAGAGCACTGGCCCTGAAGTCAGGAGGACCTGAGTTCAAATCCAGCCTCAGACCAAACACTTGACACATACTAGCTGTGTGACCTTGGGCACGTCACTTAACTCCGATTGCCTCACACACACAAAAAAATAAAGCCCACCATAACCAGATCCCTTCCTACCTTTCTAGTCCTACACTTTACTCTCTTTCCCTTTGCTTTATGATACTGTGACACTGGCCTCCTGGATGTTGTTTGCACAAGATACTTCATCTCCTGACTTTGTGCCTCTTCTCTGAATGTCCCCCACACCAGTATTTTTCCACCTCATCATCTATGCCTCTTGGCTTCCCTGGCTAAAGTTATGGCTAAAATCCCTCCTTTAAGAAGCCTTTCTCTGTACCCTTTAATGTTAACTCTTTTCTCTCTGAGATTACCTCCAGTTTTTAGCCTATATACATCTTATTTGGATATTGTTGTTTGCATGATGTCTCTTCCATTAGAATGTGAGCTCCTTGAGGCCAGACACTGGTTTGTTTCATTTCGCTTTTGCATTTCTTTGTATCCTCAGTACTTAATACCTATGTATAGTGCTTAATAAATGTTTGTGGCTAATTAACTGCTTAAGAAAGGAATTTGTCTACCCTTTCTATTACAAGTCCTACTTTAGTGTTTTATACAAAATCTTTCTTCTAATGATATTGTGGTAGTGGGATGAAGTTAATTTGTGAATTAACCAGAACAGGGACTCTAAACCAGATGCCGATGGAGAATGAATTGATGTTCCTGTTAATGAAATTAAGTTTCTATGTATCTTCTTCTAGGTCTCTTTCCTTCTACAAGTGGACGAGCATACATCAGTGGGTATGAGATTTCACGGAGTATGGTTCATATTCGGAAGAGTCTAGGTATATGTCCCCAGTATGATGTCTTATATGATAAAATGACAGTTTCCGAGCACCTTTTTTTTTATGCTCAGGTGAGCTTAAGAGAACCGTTTTTTATATTTCCATTCAAGTACTTGATATCCTATCCTCAGAACATTTTCTAAAGAATTGAGAGTTAGGTAAGAAGAGGCAGGAAGGAATCCTAGCTTCTTCTTACTCTTTAATCTGTTTCTAGATTCAGATTTTTCCAGGCAAAAAAAATTCAGGTATTTTCCTTATTAAGAGCCTCTTTCTAACCAGTCTTCTTCTTCTTGGTTTCTTAGCTAAAAGGATTGCCTAAGAAAAAGTGCTCAGAGGAAGTCAGTCATATCTTGGGCATTCTTGAGATGGAAAATAAACGCCATACTCTTTCAAAGTCATTGAGTAGGGGAATGAAACGCAAGGTTTCTATTGGCATCGCACTCATTGCAGACTCCAAGGTATAGTAAAAAGTCAAGGTCAAGTTCCTTGTTACAGTCTAACTAGAAAAACCAAGTAAGGTCATATTGGCTTGATTCTCTAAAAGGGACCTCCCACAGCATGCTCAGTGGACAGGCATGTCAATAATCTGATTAGTATAGGGTCCCCATAAGTTTATGGGGATCAAAGTTCTCTAGCTAAACTCTATCCTGGGCTTTCAGCTTACCTAGAAAAATAAATGTAAAGCAGGCACAATGTGGTAGAACTCCTCTTATGTCTGAATGAAACTTAGGATGCTCCCCAGGGAACTCATTTTACTCCCACGGACCAACATGGTATACTTGTGTAGAGGAGGAAGCAGGGCTTCCCCACTCCCCTCGGCTTGGTAAGTAATAAAATATCATTGAACTATTATTTTACTAATTATGGGACTGTTCCTTTGGGTTGGTAGGTACTGATGTTGGATGAACCAACATCTGGCATGGATCCAATCTCTCGGCGGGCTACCTGGGCTCTCCTTCAGCAGCAGAAAAATAAGCGAACAATCATGCTGACCACTCACTTTATGGATGAGGCTGACCTATTGGGGGACCGCATTGCCATCATGGCCAAAGGGGAATTGCAGTGTTGTGGCTCTTCACTTTTTCTCAAACATAAATATGGTAAGGGAGGCAAAGGAGAAAAATTGGACAATTTTATTTTTCACTCCCCATGTGCTTCACTCTGGTTATGGTGAGGGAAATTCTTTGCTGTTCCCTTTCACACCATATCCTAAACATCCATCCACTAAATTTAGTACCTCTACTTGCTTTGGAGTTAGATTCCTGGATCTGGATAAGAAATATGAAAGTTATTTACACAAATACCAGAGAGAATACATAAGATGATAGTGTTGCATTATTTTCCCTCTAAGTCTTTATTATATACTGTGACATTCACTATTTCTGGTTAGTAATGTTTCCTTAATTAAATTGGTTGAATACTTGTGAGAATCTTCTCCCTTTTGTGGAACTTTTTTATTATGCTAATTTTCATAAATAAGAAATCCCTATCTAATCCGACCCTTATTGTCCGTAGTATCAATTGAAAAGATTTTCTAAGCAAAAGTGCCCTGAGAAAATAAATTTTTATTCCATTCATAATTTTCATTATTCCCTAGCAAAGACTCTCTGGAGCAGTGTTGAGAGTGTTCCCTGATAACCTCCTTATATTTGACTTTCTGTCCCCTCATTCTCATAAAAGTGGTCCAGTTGAAACAACTGAAAGTCAAATGTAACCTAGAAAGGGAAATGTGAAAAACAAAACTGCTTTATGTTTTCTTTCAGGTGCAGGATACCACATGGTCATAGTAAAGGGACCTGCATGTAACACTGAGGAAATTTCCCGTCTGATTTTTTATCATGTACCAACCGCCACATTGGAAAGTAATGTTGGGGCTGATTTATCATTTATCTTGCCTAAAGAGAGTTCATACAAGTAAGGCCTCAGAGGGAATTGGGCTGATAAGATTTTTTTCTTTTTTAAATTTTATTTATTATTAAATTGATGGGATTACATATAAAATTACATATCTCTATTACATACAGCTTTCTTTAGTAATGTATTAGTATGTATTAAATTTAACACAGTAGAGTCACCATTTCTTTGTTTTTCTCTGTCGTCTTCTAAAATTTTTTATGCTTTCTTTTGTGTATTTTTAGTGTTTCATCAATGTTCTTTTTTTCCTGTTTGCTTCTTTTTTCTTTTTAAAATTTTATTTATTTATTTTTAGTTTTCAACATTCACTTCCAAAAGATCTTGAGTTCCATATTTTCTCCCCATCTCTCCCCTCCCCCCTCCCCGAGATGGCATGCATTCTGAATACACCGTCTCCTGATCTGTTCTTCCTTCTGTCACTCCTCCCTTCTCTTATCACTCCCCCTTCTATTTTCCTGTAGGGCAGATTAGATTTCTGTACCCCATTGCCTGTATATGTTATTTCCCAGTTGCATGTAAAAACAATTTTTAACATTTGTCTTTAAAACTTTGGGTTCCAAATTCTCTTTCTTCCTCCCTGCCCACCCACCCTCATTGAGAAGGCAAACAACTTGATACAGTCATGCAAAACACTTCCATGACAGCCACGTTGTGAAAAAACTAACTATATTTCTCTTCATCCTGTCCTACCCCCCATTTGTTCTATTCTCTCCTTTGACCCTGTCCCTCCTCAAAAGTGTTTGCTTCTGATTATTCCCTCCCTCAATCTGCCTTCCCTTCTATCATCCTCCCTTCTCTTATTCCCTTCCCCTCCATTTTTCTGTGGTAAGACAGATTTCCATACTCAGTTGAGTGTATATATTATTCCCTCCTTAAGCCAAATCCAATGAGAGTAAGATTCATTCGTTCCCTCTCACCTCCCTCCTCTTTCCCTCCATGGTAAAAGCTTTTTCTTTCCTCTTTTATGTGAGATAGTTTAACCCATTTTACCTCTCCCTTTCTCCTTCTTCCTGTGCAATCCTCTCTCACCCCTTAATTTTATTTTTTAGATACCATCCCTTCATATTCAACTCACTTTGTGCCTTCTGTGTGTGTGTGTATGTGTGTGTATTTATATATATATATATATATATA